TCGATCTGTACAATCCACCCGTAGCAAAATCCACTCCCACACACTTTTGGACCCATAGAAAGGGCATAAAATGTCAATTTTGCGCAGAACTCTCACAGCAAGAATAGCCAAACAATGCGGCAAATTTTGTTTGTCAATGGTGCACAAAGGAAATTTGGTTCCTGCTTTAATTATAAAAAAAGAGTATTCAGAGTGGGTTGCAAAAAGGTGGAATACCTTAATTGGTAATGATAACTCAGTATTAACAGATATTTTCCTTAAAATTTATAATAATTTATAACCAATGTAAGGAAGCAGTACTACATTTTAAGGATAAAATTATATAAAATAATTTCCATAATAACAAAATACATATTTTATATTCTTTAAACCCTTTAAAAAAATCTAGAAAATTCATTTTTCCAAGTGTGCCCACAGCAGGCAGGCTTGGGCTGGCGTCAGCAGCCAGTGGAGCCATTATCAGCTGCTTTGAGCGATTACACGTTTGGGGGCAAGGACTGGGAAAGGACTAGGAGTGGAATAAGAGAGCACTGGAAGGAGCAGAGCTGGGACAGCTTGGGCTGAGTTGGACGCGGGTCAGGGTCGCGTTTAACAAAATGTAAACACAGCGCGGCCAAGTAACGCTTCTGCCTTGGTTATCTACCTTCTGTCACTGTCTGCCTGGATATCCTGCACATATATCCCTATTCCCTAGTCCTTGCTCTATCGGCCTTCTCTTTTTGTGTGGGCCGGATATTAAGGATAGTCCGCGTTACGGTAATGACGATGCCAACAGCCGGCGGACAACCTTCCTCCAGAACGAGACTTTAAATGGCACAAGGAAATTGTAAAATTTGTAGCATTTTGTCATTGTCTCTGTGTTGCGGCGATTTGGCCAAGTTAAGCCAAGTGGCCCCGATCCCTTTGGATTTCTTAAGCTCACGGGGAGAATCATCTAAATTAGTCTGTCAAATAGAAAAATGTTTGGCCTGAGAAGCAAAGTAAATTTTTTTTAGGAAACAAAATAATTAAATCACTGACTTTTTTAGACAAATATTTACAATTTATTAATAGAGTTTTAAGACAGATAGACAAAGCAAAAAATATAATACGATTGCAGTTCAAAAATTGGAAATCCCATTAAAGCTGTCACACATAAAAGTAATTTCAAAGCTGACATTAATTCACTTTATTTCCCTGGAATAATTCAACATTTCCAGGATTAAAAACCGGCGAAAAAGTGTAATTTATTTCTGCCAGCCAACATTTTTTTTCCTCCCCCTCTCCGTACGGATAGTTTATTTTTATTATGGAACCTTAACGAGAAATTGTATTTCGGGGCACAGTCACGCATCCACATATGCAAATTACCAGTGAACGAGAGCTGTTCCAAACTGCTTCCCCGAACTGTGGGTAAACATTTTAATTGAGAATTCGTCGAGCCGCAGAAAGTAAATAGAGGAGTGTGTGCAAACGACAAGTGCACGGCAGCGTCCTGTGTGGGTGGAGCTGGTAAATGCAGGGAGGTGGCAATTTTCCCAGCCAGTGCCCATATCCCTCTACTCCTCCTTCCACTTAGAACCCTTTGATTTTTTGCGTAAACCTGCACTTTGCACATTTTTGCATGCGTAACAAACGAAAGGGAAGCAAAAAACTGACAGTTTTTTCGACTTTCGTGATGAGTAGAAATGCCAACGAAATTCAATTAATTGCATTTCCACTGCCAGCTATTTATGTTGTGGGGTACCAAAACTAAACTTGGATTAATTACTGTAAGATGTTTTCAAACACAGCTTAAACCTGATATCATCTTAAAACAAGCTTTGTTCTAGTAATTGCTAGATAATAAGTTGTTAACTTTAACTCCTTTAATAGCATAACAATTAGCAAGCTTTTATATCACAAAAGGTTATAACCACTCTTCTCTTTTCTGCCATAAATAATGCTGATTCCAACAAATTTCCAAGGCTTAGCACTAAAGCATAACTAAATATGGTATTTATATTCACTTTATTGGAAAGGCTTTCCCATTATTTAAGAGAATATTAACAACATAAAAACATATATAGATATATGCTAAGAACCTTGTTATTAACAAGCTAAAAATCGTGTATTTTTTCCACTGCAGCAGTTTTTTTGCTGGATTTCCTGGCATAAAGCCAAATACGACAAATGTGAGCGACTTATTTAAAAATGTAAAATAAATATTTGCGCCTGTGGCCAGCATCATTCACTTTATGCGCTTTATGTCGGTTATTTGTTTACGCGTTTTTTATCTTTTGCCCGGAGTTTTCTCTTTTTTTTTTTTGTTTTTTTTGGGGCCCTCCGCTTGTTTGCGCCCGGAAAACCCGGTCAAAAGCCGTCGACGGGAAAAAATTCGCTCACTTGGCTGTTGCTTTATTAAAAATTGTTGTGCAAATGAAGCGGCAATTTGGTATTTTGCATCTCGCAATCCGGGAGTCGTTCATTATTCACAACGCACGCTGGGAAAATGATAAGCCAACGGGAGTCAGAATCCTTGGTATAAAGTTAATTAATTTTTGCTTTTGATTAAAGCGTTGCAGAACAAGCCAAAGGCAGCTAAGCAGGGCCCAAAACAAAGGTCTTAATCCTTTTGCGGGGCTCCTTGGAGGGTGCCACATGAGTGTGTGTGTGTGGATATGTAATAAGCAAAGGATGTGCCCCGAGCGTGTTCAACATTTTAAACACTTTGACTTTGCAGGCGACATTAATGAATACATTTCGACAGAGATGAGATGAGAGGGGGGGGGGAAAACAGAAGGGAAAATGGGAAAACTGTCCAACGTTCAGTTGTTTAAAATGCCATTAAGTTCACTGTTATGGCCAGCCTGTCAGCATTTGCCTGCTGTCCAGCTTTTCCGGCTTTTCCCAACCCAACAGTTTTCGGCCCACTACTCCGCTGCGAGCTGTCAGCATGCATAACTGTTGCTGTCAGGATTATGGCTTGTCATATTATGTATTATAGAGTCTTTTATTTGCTTTCAATTAAAATGCGTGTGTCACTCGGCTGCGCATATAAATTGCCAACAAAATAAGACGCAAATTTATGCAAACGATCCGAATGAGTTTTCTTTTTTCTTCTTAGTTTTCCCTAGTATTTGTTGTTTTGGCTAACTTTTCCCTTGTCTGGTTGTTGGCGATTTTGTGGGGAATCCGAAATGAGTTCTGCCGCTTGATTTGCATATCCGCTCAAAACAGGAAAACTAAACTACTTTGTTTACTCCCTTCGAATGCCGTTAAAACTTTGGCCCAAACAGTACGAAATATCAACACAAATTGTGATTCCTGTAAAAACAATCACATGAATCTGTAAATATGGGATTGACTTTCAGCCTGCCAATGGTAGAAATATATTTTTATTCCCTGGAATATGAGTAATATTTAATTGGCTTGGCGTAGCTTTATTTTACAGTGTTTTTTAGTCGACGAATAAAGGATTTTAATCTTTTATTGGAGTTTTATTTACTTGCTTTCATTGAATAAAATCGGTATTTTAACGACAATCTTTTGATTATTTACAAATTGGTTGTGAATGCAGGCCTGTTTGGTTCTAAAGGCAGTTTATTATTTATTTACGAAATCTGTATTTAATTAGGGCCCTTAATAACCTTAACTTCTGTTGAATTCGGCCAGCAAATTGCATTAAAATCGATCATCAATAATGCATTTTCTTTTTTAATATTTTATATTTAGCCAAAAGCCAAAAATCATTACCCTGACCTCTAAAATTTGAGTGAAAATTCCATTTAAACCCACTCCAAGCCCTGCCCACTCACTGGTAAACTCCGATAAAATTAAGTTTTTGTAATAAAAATCAAGCGGATATTAAGCTAATGCCTTTGACCTTAATGGCTAATATCTCCTCGTTTTTTACGCTTTTACCTTTGTCTGTGTGGGTGGACAAAATGCTTATTACTGATTGATAGGAATCTAAATTAAAATGGCATAATAAAAGCACTTTCGAGCAGACTTCGACCAGACGCAAAGCTCAAGGTAAGTGCAGGGTTTTAGCTCTGGGCTCTGGAAATCCTTGCGAGTGGAGCGGCGGCGCAAACTTTGGCAGGGATTAGGAACAAGAGTAATGACAGTTGGCTGGCCATGAGGAAGAACTGGCCAATGCCCACTCCAACTTCTAACTGATTGCCATCGATACGGCAGGCGAGTCACGTCCATAAAATCTCAATCGCTGGACCAGGTGCCGGAGACAGCTTAAAGCCGCTGCCTTATCCTTATCCTGAACTTAAAGCTCGGCCAGCGAAATCTAAGAAGACCTCGGGCAAATGCCTAACTTAATTATAAATTAATTAGACGAGGGCCAGCAACATCAAAGTATCAATAATTAATCGCCTTGATAATGTTTTCAATTTCTTGCTTCATTAAGTTGTTTTATTTAGCAGCCTGCGAGGTGTTGCTCCGCCGTCTTTTCTCTAAGCCCCCAAGGGCTAAGACATAAGCCCGGTTAATACATTTGGAATTAGTTTTTGAGTGAGGGGGGAGGGGGGTTTGTTCCATCAAGGATCAATACCTTTTCGAGTAATGGCATTTTAGAAAATTCAAGCTCTGTTCTCGATTTCTACAAAAACTTCTCAAGCAAAGAGGTTGGCATAAACAAGTCATGGTTTTGGAAAATTCAAGACTTCAGGCTGGTTGTTTATGTCTTTAACTTACTCTCAGCTTAATCTACAAAAGTATAAAAAACATCAAAAGCATTTACACTAGAACAACTTTGGTAACAAGAAAGTAAAACTCTGGGAAATGTGAAGCTGAAGAGAATTTTGAAAACATTTCGTATTTAAAAAACATTCATAAAATTCACTTATGAATATGCAGCCAATAGTTTTGCACATGTGAATGAGCAGCGAGCACAGACGGAAATAAAACTGAAACCGGATGTGCGCCTGATGGCCAGACCGGAAATTAAACTATTTGCTAGCCTGCCACGCGAGTCCTTTCATAACAACCATTTTTGGCACACACACACACACATGGGTTAAACTCACCTGCCCCTCGAAATACGTTTCTTTTAAAGTAAGTGTTATAATTTTTATAAGAGAAGAAAATGTATATTTTCAGGTAGCGTGTGTTAGGCGCGCGGCTTAAAATTTATTCGTCACTTATTTTGGCTTTTGTTTGGCCAACAACACGGCTACGCACACTCACGCACACACAAGCAGCGCAACAACAGGCAGGATACCCACACTCGCGCACACACACACACACGCACACCTTGGCCGGGAAAAGTTAGTAAGGCTATAGCTTCTATAGCCTGGGTTCCTGATGCCCAAGTTCCTGGCCACAGGATATGTCAGCCTCCGCGTTTGGTGTCCTGCTCGCGAGACGGCTCAACTCGAACTGTGACGAGGCTGGCACTTTTGGTCCTTCGGCGCTATATGTACGCTCTCGCTTTCCCTCTCTCTCTCTTTAGCTCTTACTCCCTCTCGTTTGCACTTCCATAGTATAGGATACAGCCCGTCTCTGTCGCTCACTGGAAGTCCTGCCACCAGCTGGCCCAGCATTAAAAAGTAATATCAATTTCCACCTTGCGAAGTCGCACACGAAAGCAACAGCTAAGCGATTTCCCTGGATGCGGATGCAGGCAGCTGCGAACGTCGCCTTCGCACATGCCCCGCCCCCCACGCCCACGCACTTGCCACAAGGTGCGCGCTCTCTATCCACTCGGCCACATCCGTCGATTCTCGGTCTACACGAGCGGACAAATGTACCCGAGTGGAGACTTTTCATAATTGTTGCATGCCCCAGCCATGATGCTGATGGCCATCATCATCATCATGTTGATGTCGATGGCGATGGTGGCAGCTTTGGTAGCGGAGTTGGTTTTCGGGATATTTCTGGGAGTTTTTTGAGGAGATTTAAATATTTGAAAGAGTGATTTATTATCAGGAGTCCCTGGTTTATGGGAGTTTAATATTATTATTAAGCCATGAACTAGTATAAAATTTTGGTGTTAATTAGAACTTCAAAGACAATATTTGGTTCCTTTTTTGGAGGGTTTCAAAATAAATGACTTTATTAAGACTTATGTTAGATTATAAAAGGTAAAACCCCAAATTAAGCACAAAATACTTCAAATTTTTAAAGTAGTTAAAATTATTCTTATAAGGAAGTTATAAAGAAGTTTTCGAACAAAATATAAATCTCAAAAAAGAGTGTATTTTTGAGTGCGTAATAACAGAATTAATTACGTTATTTTAGCAACTTGAAGTTGACTTTGTCTGAATACAAACTAAGCCAGCCACCCATACTGGCACACAGTAGCTTGGAAAAAGCGCAACAGGACCAAAATAATTGCGCGTTAAACATGTGCCAAGCAACAGCCGAATAGCACACATACACCGAGAGAGAGAGAGAACAACAAGAGAAAGCCTTTCACCGAGAGAGCGTTAAAGGACGACATTGAAAGCCGAATGGAGACGAGGCCCTGAGAGTCCTACTGGAAATGTTCAACTGGTTGCGTTTCGCAAGCAACAGGATACGCTGGAAGGCAAGAGAACATCGCCGAGGACGGAAACATCGCACGCACACTATCACAACCTCGCAGGACCTGCAGCAGCAACAAAAAAAAAAAGGAAAACAGAAGGGAAACAAGGAGCAGAAGGAGCCAAAGACGGCCAACCACAGGCATAGAAGCAGTCGCGTGCTTTAAGCTTGAATACCAAAACAATTTGAGCGCACAATAAAATTCAATGGGCCCCCAAGAAAAGTGGAAAAGGGCCAAGGAGGAGCTGCGAAAAAAAGCTGAGGAGGCAGCAAAGGAAAATGTGCCAAAGCGCGGTGGAAAAAGGGAAGAAAAGTAGGGGGAGGACATTGCGTGTGAAAGGAGCAGCGCCTGTTGAAGGACGAACGGCATTAGAATGCTGCAAAAGGAAACGCACACGGTTGGACTTGGAAAAATCTTGAAGAGGAAAGGAAAAAGCCAACACTTTCATTTTTATAAATATTATTTTTAATATCTCTTAAAGGGCTTTAAAATAAGTTTGATATTAAAGTTAATGGCAGAGAGCTTGCCATTTACTCCACAGTTTCATTATAAGCTTTATCCTTGGAAGTTTTCTCATCTCTTAAGCCCTTTGTTTTCCCAGTGTAGCCAGTGTTTACCTGTTAGCCAGCCAGTCATCGGGGGATGTTTGGTTTGGACCTGTTCGAGAATCCCCACCCACACGGAGTCGGGAGGTTGACTGGCGATTTCGCAGGCACCCGAAAAGGTATGCAGCGTCTGTCGATTAAGATGCCAGGGTCTGGGCATTCCGGGTATTGTTGGGGGGCTTAGGCCGGGACCTGGCTGCCAGCTTATCAATTTGTATGCCTGCAGATATTTATTTATGAATATCCTTTGGACCCTCGCCGCCGCCTCTTGAAATGCCGAAATGCTGAAATGGTGAAATGCCGCGTAATCCTGACGCACACCTTTTGCCTTCGGCCAGGGGTCCTGCGTGCGTCCATTTTTCTCGGCTCTTCTTTATGTGTCTCCGTCTTTCCCTCTTTTATAGGCCTTCCGTCGTGTCCTTAATTTTATTTTTATTGCAGATTGATTTTTTCAGATTAAGTTTTCCATTTTACAGGCGGCATTACTTCGTCTGAGAGACGGCTGTGGGGCTGCAAAGAATCTGCCTCAATTAGCACTGCACAACAGAGGAAAAACAAAACATAAAGCTAACAAAATGGCGAGCCCCCTTGTTGCTTTCCCCTCCGTTTGCTCGTCACACACAGAACTCGAAGTAAAAGTAAAACATTTTCATGCAAATGCTTTTGTTTAACCATGGAATATCCCCGACATTTGCACACATTCTCGGCGAGAATCAAGCGCGTGTGAGAGTCTTGCGGCAAAAGTTTTCGCTCCGCACGCTCGCAGCCAAGAGCAAACAAAATCAAACCGAGCGCAGTAAAGCAAACCAATATTGACCCTCGGTCAGGAGGTTGGACAGGTCAGGGGTCCAAGGGTCCAGGGGTCGGACAAGCGGGTTGAAACGGTGCAAAACCAGTTGGACCACAACGCTCCAGGCTCCTGACTGCGAGATACCAGTCACTCATAGAGGAGATTCACAATATGTGGCCTACTTTTTGGGGCTTTTTGATTACAAAAATCGTAAGCTATTCTATGGATTGAATATATTACCAATATATTTGACAATATGAGTATAAGGAATATTATAAGTTTTTCTTTCTAATTGGTTTTCTTTGCTAATTAATCATCTTTTTCATAACCACTATCCCCTAATCTGAGTTACATTTGTTTCAAAATAGAAAAAAGTCCCTGCTAATTGCCTGTCATTAGAGTGGCTTAAAAATCTATTTAGCGTTGGCCAAGTTGCAAGTGCAACTGTCATTGAGTTGGATGACCAGATGGCAGTTTATCCCTGACGTTTATGTCAACTAAATGCGTAAGCTTATTTTGCATTCGCCATGACACTCAATTAATGGCGACAGCGAGGAGGGAAAAGTGCCACAGGACTAAGGGCGAGAGCAGTCCGAGGACCAGGCATAATCCTTTGCCCACTTTCAATGGCTACAACTTAATTATGTGGAAGCCCTAAGAAAGACAGCCGAGCACTTGACGCTAATGCTGGGGCCACTTGAATCTCAAATCCTCGCTCGCCAGCAACCAAGATGGCTGAATTAAGAGGAACCAAACACAGGATGTCATCAGCTTGTATTCACTGAGTGTTAAATACTCTTTCGAGAGTGTACTAATAAATATTAAAATATTATATAAATAGACTAAATAAGCATAAATATGACAGAATGATTATTTTTAAAAATTCTCGTCTTCTCCTTGTTTCGATGATACTCATCATAATCGCCAGATATATTTCAAGGAGCCTTTTGAAAGAGCATCAGAAAAGGTCTAAGAAAACACAACTTAAGTGCTTCATTACGATTTTAATTTGGCATTTTACCTGCCCGAACGCCCCCTGTCCTTTGGGCCAACTTCGTCGCCAACTTGGTCTTCTTAATTAGAACAATTTGCGAGGACGACAAGTGGTCTTAGCATAAACTTGAGTAAATGACGCAAAAATCGCGACAGCCAGCCATTGCTTTGGCCATTGTTGTCGTTGCTTTCGTCCTCGTTGTCCTGGTCGTTTTGTTAAATGTTCAATGCAAATAGTTTGCCAGACAGATTTTCGGCTAGGCCGTACTTTTGCCTATTTACAGCGAAGAAGTTAATTGAATTTTCACACCAAAGCCGGCAAGAACAATGGCCCACTGCCATTGCCGGTGGCTCAAAACGCTTTATTTGACAAAGTAATTAACTCTGAATAATGTGCCGGGAAATTGCTGTCGAGTGGGTCATAATTTGTGGGGCTCTGCAAATTCCTTTTGTTAATCAAACGGCAAAAAAGTCGTGTGCCTCCGCTTGGCTCAATCAATTGATATCGATCAGTGGGAACGCAAAGCTGGCAGGAAAGTGAAAAGTTCACACCAGAGGAAAACGAAAGCAACAGTTTGACTTATGGGACGGGTGGCCAAGATTGGGGGTGTCCTTTGGCTGGGGTAAGTGGAAATGGCCCTGATGGCTGATGACCAACTTGTTGCTGGGCCAAGTCAAAAGGCAAAAGCCAAGGGGAAGTACGCACATTGCGTAGCTCCCTTGGGGCTTCGGCTAGAGCAGTTTAGGAAACCTCTATAGGGCGGTGATCAAGGGATTTATAGTTAAGTCTATAAGGACTAAGGCAAAGGGTGTTCCTTTCTAGAAGATTTACTTTTACTAACTTACAAAGAAATCATTTTAAACCAAAAGGAAACAATATATTACTATTTTTAAGCACAACTTTAAAAAAAGAGAGATAATTAGTAGTACAACCCCAGCTAGACACCTTAATAATCATCATTATTCCTTAACTGGACTAGCAAGTCAGCTGGTTTCCTGCGATATTTTCTATTTGTGTCTTAGCCAAATACCAAATTCTGAGAAATAAATCTCAATTTACCAGACTGGCCATCGCAGGACGCCTTATTTGTAGCGCAGCTCAAACACAATTAGAAGAGCGTGGAAAAAGCAGCACAGGGCTCCTATAACAAGGACCAAGGACCTGCGGACAACGATGGGGGCGTGGTGGAACTTTTCGCTTTGGTAAGCAACTGACGCCATTTTAATAACGCAAATTACAGTCAGCGTTGTATAAATTTAGTTCGCAGTGGGTGGTTGTGGACTCGCGTGGGCGGTGCGGTGCTGGGCAACTGTTGCTGGCACATATTGCAGCTGTTGTGGAATGTTGACGCTGTTGTTTTCGCTGTGGCTGCCACCAACAATGGCCAAAAACAACGCGAACTAGATGCATAAATTGCCATGGCTATAAGGCGAGTTATTAAAGGTAATGGCATAGCTTAATTGGGGAAATATGCGAGTTGGCCATCGATTCAGTAAGGACTTTAAGCCCTTCAATGACAATTGCTGAATGGCCATTGAATTTTCGAACAATAGACGATTACCTAAGCCAATAACTACTTCGAAAGAGCTGTGTGGGTTGATACTTAGTCCTTAATTAAATCAGTGAATGGGATTATTTTCATAAAGGACTAGTTGAAGCCAGTAAATGCTGATTAATAATGACTGCTTACTTTGATTTGTGATTATTGATTTCATATTCATTTCTGGAATTTACGAGAATCGATTAGTGTTTCTGCATACTGAATTCCGTCTTTAAAATTAACGAAAAGGAACTATGATTAGTATTTTGAAGAGTCTGCCAGACAGCGCTGTTATTGTAAATAACATGAAAAATGCGAAATTATGTTAACTTATCGGAATGTTACTATGCCATTGGTTCGATTTTTCTGTTAATGCGAAGGCTAAAGTCTGAAAACGCATTGAGTTTAATTATAGATAAGGTAAACAGGTGTATGATTGTTTACTGTAAACTACAGTCACTATATTTTACATTAAACCAACTAATTTTAAAAACAAAGACATCCATTCGAAGAAATGTAAAAGAATTTAAATTTAAACTAAAATTGAAATTATCTAATTTCAATCATATTCTTTATTTCTATAATTTTTTTAGGGAAGTTCGCTTTACGGAAGCTTCACTATTTAGAATTAGCACTCTTTAGTTAAAGAGAGACAAACAAACAAAACAAATTTCAGAGACGTATATAAGAGAGCTTATTATACCGTAGGAACTGAAAATTTCACGTTGTTTGCCGCCGTTTTCATCATGGAATTGTGATTCACATAACCAGAATAGAGCGGCGGGCGATTAGAGAGTCCAAAGCTCTCTCGCTGGTAAACAATATAAGCAAAGCATTCCCCGCTGAGCGATTCAGTGTACTCAAAATGTTTGTTCTAATCGGTTTGTTGATCGGTGCCCTCACTCTCGCAGCATGGTGGGTGTACCAGAACTACACATATTGGAAGCGTCGTGGGATCCCACATGATCCACCAAACATTCCGCTCGGAAACACCAGCGAACTCATGCGAACGATGCAGCTCTCTCATATTCTCAAGAGAATTTACTTCAAGTACAAAAACCAGACAGATGGACCTTTCGTGGGATTCTATGTTTATGCCAAGAAATTCGTCGTGGTCACCGATATTGATTTCGTGAAAACAGTGCTGATCCGTGACTTTGACAAGTTCCACGATCGTGGGATATTCCACAACGAAAAGGATGATCCGCTGACCAGTAATCTGACCACAGTCGAGGGTCAGAAGTGGAAGACTCTGCGCCAAAAGCTCACACCCACCTTTACCTCCGGCAAAATGAAGATTATGTTCCCAACAGTCCTCAATGTTGGTGATGAACTGATTCGGGTTTTCGATGAGAAGATCTCCAGCCCTCCACAGACCTTGGAAATCACCAATCTCCTTTCCCGATTCACAGCTGATGTGATTGGCATCTGTGCCTTTGGCCTGCAGTGCAACAGCTTGAGGGATCCCAAGGCGGAGTTTGTTCGGATGGGAAACTCGGCCATCAGCGAACGTCGTCATGGCAGACTGGTGGACCTACTGCTCTTCGGGGCACCTAAGCTGTCCGCCAAACTTGGCTTTAAGAGTTTGCTGCCAGAGGTTGAGGATTTCTACATGAATATTGTCAAGGACACTATCGAGTATAGGGTTAAGAACAATGTAACACGGAACGATTTCATGGACATGCTGATTGAAATGAAGTTAAAGTACGACAAGGGCGATAAGCAGGATGGCCTCACCTTCAATGAGATCGCTGCTCAGGCTTTCATATTCTTTCTGGCTGGCTTTGAAACCAGCTCTACAACCATGGGATTTGCCCTCTATGAATTGGCCAGCCATCAGGATATACAGGATAAACTGAGAAGAGAAGTTGACACTGTGCTGGCGAAGCACAATGGTAAGCTGTACTATGACAGCATGCGGGAGATGACGTATCTGGAGAAGGTTATTGATGGTGAGTTGTTGGGTTATTCCATTTGGTAACATAATATATTATAATCATTCTCCTTCCTAGAAACCCTAAGGATGCATCCCGTTGTCGCTCATTTGGTTCGCATTGCAACTAAGCCCTATGTCTACAGCAATCCAAAATACTACATTGAACCCGACACTGGAGTATTGGTGCCCACCCTGGGCATACACCATGATCCCGAGTTCTATCCGGAACCGGAAAAGTTCATACCAGAGCGATTTGATGAGGAGCAGGTGCAACAGAGACCCGCCTGCACTTTCTTACCGTTTGGAGATGGCCCTCGAAACTGCATTGGTCTTCGGTTCGGAAGGATGCAGGTCATCGTTGGAATGGCTTTACTAATCCACAACTTTAAGTTCGAGTTGTATCCGACTAAGACCTCGGTTCCGATCAAGTACAAAGTCGGAAATATATTGCTGAGCGCCGAAGGCGGAATACATTTGAATGTCAGCAAGATAGTGAAACAGTAATAGTGAAGATTCAACTAACTAAACTTCGTACCAAAAATATATTGAATGGCATCAATTTTTCCATTACCAATTTATGGCTTGTACTTAGTTGGTAATACCCTTCATAGCCTTACTGGTCCTTGAATGCCTGCTTAAATGCAAATCCTTTTGCAGAGATATCAGAACTCAAAGAAACCACTGCCTTAAAATATAATTACAGCCAGGCCCTATTGTTCTAAGTTCTAAAAAGAGTCGTAAAATATGCAAAATTATTGTTTCTCCAATCAAAGCCAACAGAAATTCAAGTTAAATTCTTAGGAACAGGCCAAAGACAGCGCCAGGTCCACTTTCAAAGGATATTCAGGAGGAGGATGTTCTCCGTGTAGGACAGCAGTAGTGCACAGCAGGCCCCCTCTGTGTGCTCCTTTCTTGTCCTCCAGATGTAAGCCATAACGCTTGGCAGCCGTCCAACTATGGAATATCCGACAATTGTTGCCATGGCTACTCGACTGCCACTGCTGCTGCAATTTTGCGTCATATTGTTTGCTGATTTCGTTTCGGGTCTAAAAATAAACAACTCAACTCGATTTCTGGCTGGCTGGCAGCTGCCCCGCCCCTAAGAGGGCTGTGGACAGTGGGGCGGTGGGCCGCCAATCAAGGAATGGCCGCTTTGGCTAATGATAAGCCTTGTTTTGTTGATGTTGTTGATGCGGCGCTGTGGCCGCTTGTGGCAGCCATAAAATCATTATGATTGCGTATTATTCTGTCATTGATTTTAATTTTAATGTGAAATTTATCCTGCGCAGGGGCGTAATGCGCTTAAATGCGTATTTATTATGCTTGGCAGAGTTGAGAACTTGATAAATCATTTGTGTTTGGCTTCGCTAATCAGTTTGGTAAGTAAATTAAGTCCGTGTGCTCTGGGCACCGCATTTTGGAAAAATGAATAATGTTTTTGTTTTTATTTACGCATTAAGTTCTTTCACACAATTATATATAGTTATGTATATATATAAGTATATATCGGTATATCACTTGTTAAGTATTATTATATAGACTTTTATCCTTTTTGTTGCACAAAAAAAACTAGACATAGTTCATGACGTGATTGAGTTTATTCTGTATTGTATTTAAATGAAATCTCTTTTAAACGCAACGCACAAAAATTGTTCAAGCCAACATATTAAATTAGATATTTAGGTAATTAAATTTAGAATTAATCAAACAATAAGCTTAGTTATGGTAATTAAGTTTGATACTAACAATAAACGTATTCATTAAATTAATTAATTAATATATGAATTGTTATAATGGAAACGTTTCTCATTTGTGTTTAAAGCGCGTCGTCGATGATAAATATACTTTAGGCTTAAAATCGAGGTTTAAATCAGATTATTGCAAATGTAAACGAGTGTCAAGTGATGATTAACTTTTGCTCTGCGGGTGAAATGTGAAATGTGTGAATTTTAGACTAGATCTAAACGTAGCGTATATATATATATAATTTGCTTATACAAAAATATATTTATTGGTGTATTGAGTTCTTCACATTTTGCAATTTTAAATTGGGTTTTTAGTTTGCTCTCTAGTCCTTTCCTTTCCTAATGAAATGTTTCCTTTCGCTTAATCATTAGTTATTCCAGTTTACAGTTTAATTTGATTTTATTGAGCCCTACACTCAAAAATATGTCCGAATGCTTGGCATGCTCTCATGTTCTCATTTACAAAATACACTTAGCCAAATATATAGTATGTTTTGCCGAATACGAAAGATGAACAAAGTGGTTACAAAATGTGCGTTAAGTACACGCCGCAGGATTGAATTGCTTTACGAAGTAGCTAAATTTAATGCTTTTAATATATATATATTTTGTTTAGAATTAATTTAAGTAACGGAATTCGCTGTGCCTAAGAATGCAAAACAAAAAGAAATATGAATATATAATATATTTTTACTAGCATTTAAAATGAAATTGATCCGAGCTTAAATTTGCATTTAACTGGTTTTGTGGCTTTGACTACTTTAAAGGCTTTTTCTTTCCTTGCAGGAAATACTTCTCAAATTGTGTTTTTAAAATATTTAATTTAGTTTCGCTTTAAAATTAGAAGTAAGCACTGCATAGGCTTTAAATAATTTAATTCATTTCATTTTAAATAGAACTTAAAACAAAATTACTGAATGTGTTTCACTTAAGTCGTTCTCACAACAAGAATATAATTTTTTTACGATTTTTTATAGATTTTTTTTACTGTTAAGCTTATTTTCTCTTTTCCTTTGCCGCTTTCTCTCATCTAAATTTTCAGATCCTGATCCTCATCCTGATCCTGATCTTCATCCCGGACTCAACTCATTCATTCTTCTTCTCCTTCCATTCGGTTTAGTTAGTTAGATTTCACTCGCATTATTCTCAAATTGGAATGACCTTCATTAGAAACATGTACTTTTGTTTTTTCTCTCGTGTTTTCTCTCTTTATCGATCTTTACAACATTTTAGGCTTACTCTTTAATGATAGTTTATGATAAGTTTTACTTGTTATCCTTTTCTAAATGTGTTGGCTGTTTTTTGTGGTTTTTCTTTTTCTTGCTTATATAGGAAAGGGTGCAAAAGTATGGTTGTTGGAGTGTCACTCCCGGCAATTTTGGCATTGTTTTTGCTTTTTGCTTTTTGTTTTTTGCTTTTTGTTTTTGTTTTCTTGGAAATAGTAAAGTTTCGAAATTTCAACTGACGTTCAAATGTTTTAAATGCATTTAGAAAATAAATAGGATTTGTTTTGTGTGTGTTTGCTTTCTTCGAAACGAATTCTTCAGGAATATTTTGAGAAAAGTGAGCACCACGCTGGATTGTGTGTTTGTTTTTGTTTTTTCTTTTTCGATACGGAACAAAGTTGGGGAAATATATAGATGTGTTTTTTTTTTTTGTTAAATTCTGCTCTGCCTTCCTTCGGAGGTTAAATGAAAACATAAACCACCTAGACCGTAAAGTCTCCCGCTGCCCAATTCATCTTGTAGTCGTCCATGTTGAACAGATCGAAAATATCGCCGCTGGCATTGAACGCGTCCACTGCACCACCGCCGCCTCCATTGTCCACGCCCATTCCTGCTCCGGTGCCATTGGCCATGCTCGTCGACGTCGTGAATTCGTTATGTTGACCCGCCTGCGGTTGTGTCACCGCCTGCATGAAGGAGTTGAGTGTGCTCTCGAAATCATCGCAATCCATTGGAGTGCTGTGGCTGCTGAAGTGACCATTCACCGCCGACGACGAGGATTCTATGGATCCATTGCAATTGACCCCGGGACTATTGCCATTGCCTGCCACATGCTGAGTCAGCTGGGCCACAAAGCTATCTGCATCAAAGTCCACATCGGCACCCGGATTGTTGTTCAGCAGCACGCTGTCGGGACTGCTGGCATCCAGCAGCTCATTGATGGAGGGCTGCAGGCTGGGATTGAGATCGCGTCGCAGGTTGCCGTTGTTGTTGCTGCTGCTCTTGGTCGCCGAGGTGTGGCAATAGCCGCTGGAGTCATCTCCCATGTCCATCTCTAGTTGCTGCGACATAAGCTCCAGCAACTCGTACTCGTCAAAGTGATTGAGCTTGGCATCCGGACTGTTGGGCTTCTCGCTGCCGCTGTGACAGCTCTTGGGCGGTGTGCTCGGCGGGGGTGTGGCATGATGTTGCTCCAGGAAAATGTCCAAAGTCTTAGCCACACTCTCTGCATCTATGGCATTTGAATCCGTCTGCAGGGGCGAAGCCATGTCTATGTTCTCGATGAATCCATGATTCGTTGGCTGAGTACTGGCAAAGCTCACGTGCGCTTCATTCGTGTCCATGGCTATGTCAAGAGTTTGGACAGGCGTGGCTGGTGCCTCCAGCTTGGGCACCAGTGGCACTATGCTGGCTCCACCTGCCGCCGTGGCGGGGGCGGCTCCATTGAACATAGACAACTCCGGCAGCGGCGTTAGCGGAGTAATAGGCTCCAGAGCGGCACTTTCTGGCAGTTCACCCTGCTTGATAAGTATGTCCAGAACATCGCTGACCTGTTCGGACTTGATGCCCGCCGACTTGCGTTTGCTGAGCGGAGCTGTTGGTGTCAGAGGAGCTGCCGCAGGAGCAGGCGACTGCGCTGGTTCTTCCTTAATCTTCACTAGCGGCATGAGACCATTTAGAGCCGCCGCCTTACTGGCTGCCAGCTGCTTAGTAGCTTCTTCATATTGCGGCGGAGGAGCTGGCGAGGGCTTGATGTCCACCTGGATGAGTTGCTGCTGGACAGGCTGGAATTGCTGCTGTTGTTGCTGCTGCTGCAGCTGCTGCAACTGCTGCTGAGTGATGATGGACTTGGCTTCGATGGGCAACACAATGCTGGGCAGGGAGTTTGTGCGTTGGTGGCCATTTAGTAGTTTCCTGGGCTGCGCCGCAGCTGATGTTGCAACAGGAGTTGCTGTTGCTGATGGAGGTGCTGCTGCTGCTGCTGGTGTTGTGGTGGTGGCCGTCAAGCTGATATTGCCTAACGTGTGCGCCGTCATATGCTGATCATTCAAGCCCACCAGGAATATGGTCTGATTGCCCTCGTTCCACAGCAGACCCAAGTTGTTGTGGTGCTGGGTGGCAGGCGATGCTGTTGCTGTTGCTACCGCCGTCGGCTTGGCTGCCTGCAATATGGTTGTGGTGGCTGTATTGCTGGCGGGCACGTTTGATTTCTTGGTTGTTGTCTTGGCAGGAGCGTTGTTTATGTGATTGTTGTTGTTGTTGAATGGAATGAGTACAGTTTGTGTCTTTTGCGTGAGCAGGCGCACCTGTTGCTGCTGTTGTTGCTGTTGCTGCAGTGCCTGCTGCTGCTGCTGCTGTTGTTGTTGCTGCTGTTGCTGTTGCTGCTGAGCGGCAGCTGCTGCCGCTGCCTTTTGCTTCTGGATTTTAGCCTCCAGCTGTTGCTTGACCACCATTTTCTGGTTGATGGGCGGTGGATTAGACGACGAGATGTTGCTGTTGTTGCCCGAGTTGCCTCCGGCTGGCTTCTTGGCTGCTGATCCCTGCTGTTGCAACCCATTTACCTTGTGGTTATTGCTAGCTCCACTGGCTTTAACCGTCACCTTGGCGGGTATATTCTTCTCCACTTGCTGCGGCATTACAGTTAGCGTTTGCTGTGGCCCATTCGAGGTCGTGGTGATCAGCGTAATCTGCTGGGAGGGCAAGGCATTCACCACCTGGGCTGTGACCGTCTGCTGCTGATGTTGCTGCTGCTGTTGCCGCTGGCGTATCTTCTGCAGCTCCTGTTGCGATCGCTGCAGTTGCCTCTGCAACTCGTCAATCTTACGCTGCTGTTCCCTGAGCAGCTCCTCGTTGGTCAGGATGATGGTAGCCGTCTGCGGCTGTGGTGGCAGAATGGTCTGCAACGTCATCGGATGCGTATTGTCCAGCTGTTGCTGTACCACATCCATCTGCTCGTGCTCCATGCCCGCATCTGAAACCAACATGGTCACTGGGGGGGGCTGCTCCACCAGACCACAGTTGCTGGTATCCATGGCATCACTTATGGTGATCACCTCTGTGGCGGTATTGTTGCTGTTGGCGGCCGGTGTGGGGGTAACATTGCTGTCGAGAGCCTCCAATGGCAGATACGGTTTCAGCCGCTCAATAAGATGCGGTTTGGGTCCGGATACTGGCAAATTCCTGCGCTTAAGATGCTGTTTCAAGTCCGAGACCTTCATCTTCTCCAACCGGGTTAAATCTGTGATTGAACTGGTGGTGGATTCGGCATAACTGGTGGCCGGACTGGGCGGAATCGAAGAACTGACCGAAAGCGCCGGCGAGGGCAGTGGTGGCGGATGCTGCACGACAGTTGGTTGATGTAGCTGTTGTTGTTGTTGTTGTTGTTGCTGATGCATCTGCAACTGTTGCTGTGGTGTAGCAATCAGCGAAAGAGTGGGCGGCGTAGGTGCGGCCGCCGGAGTGGGCGTCAGCATAGCGGCATCCCCAAAATTCAGCGGGGCTCCTCCCGAGCTGCTCGTTATAGAAATGGTGTTCGGCAGGCTGATGGGAGCTGGAGCTGGAGCAGATTGCGAGGCCAATGCGGGCACCGTCTTCGTGGTCACCGTGATGCTATTGTTGGTAGCACCAGGAGCTGTTGGAATCATAACACCCGGCGCACTGGGCGCTGGGATGATGGACTGATTCTTGTTGAGGTTCTCCAGGAACTTCAGCAGGCAGTTCTGCTGCTCCAACATAAGCTGGTAGGATGTCTCCTCCGGCTGCGTTTGATCCTGCTTTTGGCCAGCGGCACTGGGTGGACCCTTGTACTCGTGGAATTTGATGGTGCGAGCCTTGGACACTGGCTTGGACTTGGATTTCTTCCTGTTCTTATCCTTTCCGGGAGCATCGGATTTCACGGATACGGGCTGCAGGTGCAGACGTGCGGTGGTCATTGACGGTGGTGGCGGTGAGGCGATGGAAGACAATGGACTCAGTGTAGAAGTACTCGAGGCCAGGGAGCAAGGCGATGCCAACATGGGCAGGTACTGATGGTTGACCGGACTCGCAGTGGTTCCCGTTACACTCTGACACAGTTCCTCGAACAGATTTGCCGTCTCCTGCTTCACCTTTATGAAACTAGCCATGGGAAGCGGTGGTGGTGGTGGCGGAGGTGGTGGCACTGGTGCCGGCACCACCATAGCCTTGGGGTGCTGCGGTATAATCTGCGGCGAGGTGACCACCAGTTGACCAGCTGTAGGCATGGTCAAGGCCATGGTCACTATTCCCGCAGAGGCAGCCGCCGCCTGCAGCACATCGGTGGGTGAACTGGAAGTGACTGCCATCGCCTCGTCCAAACGCGGCGGTGTCTGCCGTGTATCACTCTCGGAACTCAAGGAATCCTCATCGAAGGTCATATAACTGTGCGGATGCTGAGGTCTTGTCAGCAAGCCTTCGCTGGTTGCCTTAAAGGAGACGAGTCCCTCTTTGACGATCTTCTCGATGGGCTTCTCCGTGTGCAGAATGTTCTTCTTGATCAGCTCCAAGGGACCGGGACGATGTTGGATCTGTGAGTTCAGCTGGTCCGCCAGGCGGGCCTTCTTCAGCATTCGCTGCTTCTCCGCCAAACTGGGATCGATGTGGCACTCGTCTTCCTCCAGAATGTGAAGCCTTTCGAGATCTTCGCGATTCGGCCGCTGCTGGATCTTGGCCTTCAGCAGATCGCTGGTCTTGGCGCGCTCCAGTTGCTTGCATTGTTCGTGGATAGCGGGCGAGGTTTTCAGAGCTGTAAAATGAAATGCGAGATAAATTAATTCAAATGCTTAGAACGGCATCTACCAGCTAAGTCTTACTATTAGTTAATATGCAGAAAAAGATATTAGCCTTTAAGCTTTTGAACTAACACATGCCTTATATAGAAATCTACTTTCCAACTTTTCAATCATTAAAAATATTTCCCATTAGCTCAACGGCATATGTAAACATTCCGCATGAGGACCTTTCATTTTCAGTCTCCCTCATCAACATCTAATAAATCTAATGCATTTCCTAGCCAAGTCGACAACACCCTAAGCTAACTCCTATTTGGATACACAAAATGTATTTCCGATCCAGTGCCCAAAAGTTGGCTCAGCTTTTCCTCGCTCATGGCGCTTCCACATTGCTGGAAATTTATCATTTAAATTCAAATTCACTTTCGGCTGCGTTGAGGGCTTTGAATTAGTTTGTAAATTTGCGTATTTTCCAGGATTCTTTTCCTCGGTTTCGCTTTTTTCCTTTTCCTTTGCGCATAAATTTGAAAGCCATTGAAATGAAATGTTCGACGGCAGTATTTGCATATCCTTTTTGGCAGCCGATGAATTGGGCGCCAGCAGATGCTCTGAACCGGCTAAGTGAGGTTAATGTGTATTTTATCGATCTGACTAAGCGGCTAAATGCTGTGACCCGGGGGCAGGCACAAAATCTGCTTTTCGGACCTCATCATCTACTTACATGGTATGATGCCCTGCTGGACGAGTTGCGAGTGTGGACGTCGCACCATAAGCTTCACTTTCAGCGCTGCAAGAATATGAAAAACCATAGAAGCAAGTTAGTTAAGCTGCATTAGATGTTAGTACCTAACCTTCTTTAAGATCGAGATATTGATTTCTACTCTAAGTTAATTAATTATTAAACTTTAATTAAAGCTAAGAGCAATAAGCTAAGACAACTTGTTAGTAACAAATCAAAAACCACAGAAATCATAAATCTAAAAAGAATACGCGGGGGAGGAGAGATCAAACACAGGAATCCCATAAAAAAGTGCTCGAAACAGCTGGGGGAAATAATTTTTGGGGCGAAAAGTTTGCCTTTTCCTAGCCTTTTTGACAATGCCAGGGCAATGGCAATAAATGTCGAGAGGCAGCTGCGAATGGGAAAAACAAGGCAGCGCGAAAAAAGGAAAACTTTTTAATATCTTTATGTGCGGGCTATTATGGTGTGAACAATCTGTACATACACACTCGTATTTATATATATATATTTCAAGAGTAAAAAGTTCGGGCTGGAAAATTAAATATTTAAGCCAGGCCAAAGTCAAAAGTGGGAGTCTGTCTGTCTGTCGACCAAGGTGTGGCCCCATGGGGCGTATGCGCAATAATCTGATTAGATTGCCACTGCTTCTGGCGGCTAAATAACAGATTGATGTCAATTAACTTGGCAGTGACAGACTGATGGAAAATAAATAACGGAGAACAAGGAGCCTCCTTAAGCCACCGAACTGACTTTGAAAGATGGCAAGCAATACCCTCTCCAAATCCTCTCATCTCTCTGAATAATTATAATCGCAAAGCGTATAAAATAATCAATTAATGGGACATTATCCTTTCAACATTAAATCCGAATGACCGATTAAATGCGTGCAAGCATTGTCTAATGTAATTTCAGTCTCGAGGGAATGTTTTGGCATATTAAGCATACGACCTGCTGTCCTAATATCATTACCTTCAATTAGCATTCCGAGCACTGGCGAAATTGATTCACAAAATGGCCAGCCAGCCATGTAATTAAAACGAAATAAAGCCCATTAAGGCGCAGGAAGGAGGAGTAGGAGGAGGAGTAGAAGGAGCTGGAGTAGAGCCTCATCTATCGGCTGATGGAAACTGTAGGTAAATAAAGCCAAAGCCGCAAATGAAATGAAAACACAAAATCTTATGCCCCGATCTGAGGCAGCAAAAGCCACCCGGAGGGCAGTGCACTGGGTGTTTTTGCGGTTGCTAGCCAAGGCCAGGAACGGACATTTAAGACCGGAAATGTACAGGGATGCAGTACGAGGAGAATGTCTTAGCAATCTCTTATATCATTTAATCAAGGAAAATGTTTTTGAATAAGGGTAACTATTTTAGTTTAACTAAAGCCCGTTAAACCCGTTTTTTCCTTATATTTCATAAATATAATATCTAAAAATTGCATTAATTTCGATTAGATTTTTTCTCAAAGTGCATGTAAATGCATTGTCCTCTTTTGGCATTCTGCACTTTTGACTTTTGCGGTCTCTGAGTGGGTGCCTGTAGTGTGCAATCTAAGTAAGTGGGTTAGGAGAAGCCTTTTAGTCGGCATGCTTAATTTTCGGTGGTGCCCAGGCAGACACACAAAAAACACTTGACGCCACAACAAAGTCGACATCAAAGTGACGATGACGTTATTAAAGTAATTTGGGCTCTTTGTCGGAAATCATCATAAAAAGCCAAGAGAGCTGCCAAGGCGCGTAATTGTCTCAGACGACGGTGGCAGCTGTTGGCGATTTTACGATTGAAGTGTGCCACACAAAAATGTGTGCAAAACAGCCAAAACAAAGGCAAAACAAGAAGAAAAACCATAAGAAAATAACTGAAAACAAATTTTTGTTTTTGTTTATGACAGACAGCCAGGGAAAATACTCGAATTTTTAGCCATGTAACCACTGGAAGATCTTCTCGGTGACGACACTGTCGCCCCCGTAAATTAATTATGCGCGAAATTTTTTCTTCGCTTTTCATCAATACAGATACACACACACATTTAACACCCTCGATTGATAAAAACAATAACATAAATTCCAAATTAAACACATAAAACTTTAATGCGAAAAGCAATAAATGTGTGTAGACATTATATAGAATTCCTGTTGGTATTCCGCTGCGGTTAGCTGCCCTTCGCCGAGAAAACCCAGTGCCTGCGGCGAAGGTCAGGTAAACAATTGCTGGGGAAAATGAAAATCTGGCCAGAGAGTGAGTGAAGCAGCGAAAGAGAGAGGGCCCCCACAAATATATATGGCTAAATGCGTGTTTATATGCTGTATTATAAAATCGATTACGTGATCAGAGCGTTGCCTTCGACTAAACGAAGACGCCATCATACCAGCGAAGGAAATGCAAAAGAACAGCAGCCGAAGGGGCAGGCACAGTGGGCCACAGAGGGCACTAAACTGCTCAGAAAGTAAGTATGCATTATATGGGTTAATCAGATATTTATTAGGTTTTAAATGGGAAATTAGTGTTGTGGAGTAAGCTTTAGTTTCTTTACAACATAATACCCCATTCAACCCATAAAATAAAGCCTCTTCCACAAACCAATGTGCGTTGACCATCGAATGGCCTGGGAAAACGCCTTTACAACTGTCGCCCTGCTGCCATCTATTGCCGCTCTTCCCTGCGCTATTGAGTCGCGTGCAGCGTGTTTATTTGTCAAAACATTTTTGCAGCGCCGCCATCATTGACTGCCAGCCATGTGTTTATAATAAATTCTGTTCGCAAACTGTTTACACACAACCAGAATCGAACTGGCCGAAAGGAGAGCTGGTGGTTGTTGCTAAATATGCAGTTTATTGTTAGATAACTTGTTGGGCGCCTGCCGGAAATTTTCACCATACATATTTGGCAGTTTTTGGCGAGAAATAAACCTTGCTTGCATAAATATTTGGATTCAGCAAGCCTTTTTGTCAGGGTCAGGGCGTCTGAACTTTATCGGCCATTTCCGGTTACACCTCAAAAGTCATGCAAGTGCAGGCGACAAAAGCTGTCAAAACTATTAGCAGCCATGCAGCTATACACTATATTTCTATATATATATATATATATGTTATATCCACACTTTGGGTCTGTCATTTTCTGGCCATTCAAAATTAATAAGAATATTTCTCTTCACTCAAAATGCCAAGCAAATATGTAGGCCAGCCAAGAAAGAACGGAACGGAAAACTGTTGACAAAATACAAAAACCATTTTTTGAATGAGTTCTCGACCGCTGCCCGCTGGGCGTGGCACTTCAAGTGTACGCCTTAAGTGCCTGTTGCGCCGTGACAGCTTCATTAAAACTGTGTACCCCTTGTAAGAGCCACCACCCCACTCAGACCGCTCACTGCCCCCTTAGGCGAACGTCAATATGATGAGGCGGGCAACCGAGGATTATGATGATGATCGTCGTGATGGGCATCGCAGCTTGGTAGTGTCTGGCATTTATGACTAAGCAGGAGGCACCAGATGACAAATGCCAAACAGCCGCCGAAAGATGACCAACGTGGGCGGCAAACATTGGGTAAACAACAGTCGACTAATCGACTAACAACTAAAGGGTTCGTTTCCACTGTACAGTGAAGCATGATGAAGTGCTTTGGCTACTTAACTGACAGCTTTGTTTTTGGACTTAAAATGTTTTTGTTTAAACTATAAATATTAATCTACATGCTATGATTAAGTCATTGGCCTTTAAAGTAACTATTTATAGTTTTTAGTCATTCCCAACAGGAATTAAACTCCCTTTCAGTAAACTCACATTCTTTGTTCTTGTCCATGGCCGGCTGTAGCGGACTGGAATCCACGATGGCCTTTGGCGGTGACTGTCTGGCGTCGTAACAATCCGAGTTGTTACCATCATCGCTGCTGCCCAGAAACGTCGCATGCAAACGCTGCTCACCTGAAAACCAAAGGTTTCAAGATATTAGTAAGCCTTAACAGATATATTATAAAAGTTAAGCTCACCCTCCGACATGTCGTCGTAGGCCTCGTGCAACAATATTATATCCTGAAAGGTGTGCTCCAAGTCCTTGCCGCTGAGCCTGGTGGCCAGGAGGCCACTGCAGGCAGCGCTCGAGATGAGCTCGACGGTGGTCAGTGGCGATGTGGAGATGGTGGCCAGCAGCGAGGAGCTGCCGCTGGCACTGTTCCCGCTGCTGCTCCCGCTACTGCCGCTACTACCGCTGCTCAAGCTATGCAGGGAGGCGGACTTGACCAGCTGGCCAACTTTCTGGTTGCCGTTTGTCTTCTGGGTGGCCTTAAGAGTCCTCGAGAGGCTCTTAGTGGGCGACGTCGAGGTGGATTTGTTGAGGAACCTGCTCGCCGTCGCTGAACCGGCTCCCTTGGAACCACCGGAACTGGAGTTGGAGTTGCAATGGGAACCGCTGCAGCTGCTGCTATTGCTACTGCTGCTGCTGCAGCTGCTCAGGCTGCTGCTGATGGACTTCTTCGAGGAGTTGGAACTGACAGAGGATGCTGGCGAGGCCGACGACGAACTGTGACCCAGAATGACCGCCTGCTGCTGATGTTGCTGGAGTGTATTCGTATTGCTGGCGGCGAGCTTGGTGTCAATGGTTATGGGTATGACACTGGTGGCCACCAGTTGGTGATGCTTCTGCTGGGCCAGCTGATGATTATGATTATGCTGTTGCTGTTGCTTGCTGGCTCCTCCTCCTCCTACGCCGGCTGAGCCCTGGAACCAGCTGGGAAAGTTGCCCTTGAGCGTGTCAATTAGATCCTGATCGAGCGTTAAACGCCACGATGCAGGTCCTCCGTCCACGCTTTGCGTAGACTCTGTAAGAAGGGGAAAGGAAATATATTAGAAATTTATTCATTTATTTATTAAATTTAATTCTTAAAAATGTTCCATTAAAATATTGACCATAATTATTGAAAGTTTTTGCTGTTTAAACATATTCTATGAAAAGCCAGCAAGTTTTTTTGGCTAAGCTTTTTATCCCCACCATAAATAGTTTATATTAAACAAATATACAGTAAATAATTCATAAATATAAAATTGCTAATGAAGTTCTGTTGTTGTAGATATAAGAAAGAGTTAAATATTTGCCATTGTTATTCCTGTTTAAAGTCCCACCCAAAAGCCAACCCAATTCATTAATTTTCCATTGGTTTAAAACGCAGTGTTAATTTGATTTTCCATTTTCCGCTCTTCCTTTCCTCATTTTATCCCTGCCACCCTCACATTTGTTTATTTTAATGTGGCTTTTCCCATGATTTTGCTGTTGTTGCTGCTGATGTGGCCGCTGGTGTGCTAGTTATTTATGCTAAACACTGCCAAGTAACCTAGTTTGTTGGCCCAATCCCCCCACCCCATTGCCGCCCCCGCATAGAAAACATAGCAAAGCGCGTACTTGGTATTTATTTTTCAAATTCTTTTCTATTTGCCATGAGCTATGGGCTGTGGTTCTCGCGTGTGTGCCTGAGATTTTGCGGCACTTTTTGGCTTGAGAATTGCCCGAGAGATATACTCGTACATAGATTATAAATGTATAATTGCAATTTGCCGAATCACTGGGCGCACTGCACTGCTGCACTTACTCGTAACTGGTGGCGACAGTAATGCGAACTGGCGAACTGCGAATGGCGAAATTGCGCCGAAAATCTTGGCAAACGGCGGCATTGCATCATGCGAAAGCGACATTCCCAGACACGCCTCACATTATGCAATATTCGGTGATATCTGGCGACTATTTTCAACTCGATCGTCGGTTAAAAATAATCACCCAACCCATCCCCCAGCATAATGGCCAAAATCTCTTCTAGCCGACTCTGACATGCACTTGTCAAATGTCCACCTATTTCTGGCACTAATTTCGGTTTCCTTTCCTTTGATTGTTATTTCTGGTGAGCTTAAAAAGGTTTGCCTACATTGTCGTTGCCCGAATTTGGATATTTTTAGAGCTTTTGAGGCGAGGAAAACTCATCGCAATTGTCGCATTTAGGTCGCCTCCAAATATCTTTCGCTAACAGTGCGTGGGCAGCAAAAAACTGTCACACTTTCTGCTCTTTTTTTTTTTTTTAATTTTTCGCCTTCCGCTCGGACGTCTTGTTTGTTTATCTAAACTAAATTTAAAATTGCTACGCAAATAAATGGATAACTGTGCCGAGCGCTGCATTTGCATTCGCTGCGACATTTATTGGTCATTAAGGCGAGCGCCAGAGCAGAAGAAAAGCAGCAGGAAAAGCGGCAGCAGCAGCAGCAGCAGCAGCAACAGGCGAGCAAACAGACAAACAAAACAAACAAGCCAGTCATCCAACCGAGAAGCAACAACGCGATGCCCAGCAGCAAGACACACAGAAAGAAAATACTTTTAATCCATGAACAATGGAGAATATTTTAAAGGGATTTTGGTTTATTTTGCCACAGTTTTCATCTTAGCTGATTGAATTTTATGAAAGGAGGAACTCCTTTTTTTTAAATCATAAAAATCATTATTTCTCTCTGTGCACCTTTGATGCCTGCCCCAATCTTTGCGTTCGGGTTCCTCTGTGTGCGGTGGCGCGACATGTTGTCCACACGCAGGCACATGGTTTTGAGATGAACGGCTGGCGGACGAGGGAGCCACCACCAAAGCCATTGCCAAATTCTATTTTCGCGCCAGCAGCCAGCAGCGAATGCAAGTGGTTTCTCTTGGCCAAGACGTCTCCTTTGCCCCGCTCGCCAGGGAGTCCCTGCAACCTCCTACCGCCGTCCTTCACCCTTCACCCACCCAATCTTCTTGGCCATTACAATTTGTCAACTGGGCGTATGCGCAATGCTGCTGCTGCCGCCAAGGCAATGAGAAAACAATTGAATTGACAAAGGAACCGAGAATGAAAAGGAAACCGCTGCTTCAAAGCGAAAATTAATGAATCGGAAAGAGCAATTGAACAGGCGAGAAATTGCCCAGAATTAGTTGGCTTAAAATATTTCAACCAAAATAGAAAAACAATTGCGGAATTGGCCACTTGCTCGAAATAAAACTAGACATTAGTTTTGTAATACTTAAACTGTCTAAAAACTAACCTATTACGTATCTTTTGGGAATTTAAACATAAAATATAAATTGAAGTAAAAAAGTAAAGTAAAACTTTCCATTCCACTTGTTGCCATTATGTAAATTACAATCAAAGCAGAGCATACATGGCAACCCCTTGATGAATCAATAAATAGAACAAATACACACTCAACAATTTTCCAGAGATGTTGACAAAACTATAACCTTGAGTGGGAAAACTATATATATACACACACACACACAGGCTAAAACCCAGCCAGCCGGAACAGTTGAAAAATAAAGGACTTTGGCCCAAGCACTTAGTTAGATTTCATGGCCAGAAGGAGGTTTACTACGTCGCCGTTTCATGGCCAAAACTAATCATTCAAAGCGGAGCGGAAGTTGTTGGCGGAAGTTGTAGCCCGGTCTTCCGCAGCCGCAGAAGTGTGTCTGGCTGTGTGTGTGGTAGTTTGGCATGGTTACTTCAGAGTAAACATCAATTATGTATGCTGTATGCCAGCAGCCATACACGAATCAACGCGCCGCAAAGTATGCTACATTGAGGTTGCCCCCTGCGTGTAAGTGTGCTGGGTGTGCGAATGTTCGAGTGTGTGTGTGTGCTGGCCAACTTCCTTTTGGCAAGACAGGAAACAGGATGCTGTTAACGTTACAATTCGACATAATCGATGCTTGTCGTACGAGGCTCGCATTTAACCTGGCAATTTGTCTGCGGCTGCATAAACATTAACTTTCATTTGCAGTTTATCTTCCGAACCGCGCAATAAATCAAAATGTGAGCAAAATAAATAAATTGAACTTGGGTAGCACCTCTTGGTATACAAAAAAAGAGCCTATGTTTGTATTCATATAAAAACAAGCTTTTTTTCCAAGATATTTCCTTGAATAGAAGATTCTAGGGCGTTCCCGATATAGCCCAGCAACTACAATAGTTTCCCTTTTCCCTTTTAAGATATGTTACTATAACTTTTTATATACCTTCATGACAAGTACATGGCCATTTAAAAACTCATAAAATATCTTATCAAATGACTCATCGGCTGCAAGTTGCATTTGAGTTATTGGAAACGTGCTACCTGCTGACTTCTGCTCTTCGAATCGTGACCACTGCCATTGTTTATTGTTTCGATTTAGCGAAAACAATCTGCTAGATGCGACGTTTACATATTCATTTGAATGCCAATAACAGCTGCAGTGGCAACATTGCTGACAGCTTCGACAAGCGAGGATTATGCAAGCGCCATGAATCCCCCAAAAAAAAAGAACGAAAAAGAAACCCCAAAAAAGAAGAAGGAAAGGAAAATCAAATGGATCCGTGGGGGAAACATCGGAGCAATAACAAACAGAAAATCGCTTGCCATGTGTCGCTGGGTGGGTGTATAATGTATAATGTATAATGTACTAGTGTATGGGGCTGCAAATTGAAACGTATATTTGTAAACAATACGCAGACGTCATAGACAAAACTCATTTAAATGGGAAAAACATCCAGCAACAACATTTCAACGGAAAATACTCGCACTAGTACCAACGATCACTGGCAGCGCAAATTAAAAGTCTAGTACACCAGAGCCAAGAAGCGGCGTCGATCGTTTGAATGCACTGATAGAAATATCGTTATTTGGGAACTAATCTTTAGGGTTGAAAATTAAATGAAAAGCTAGAAAACAAGTTTTACTTTTATTATTGATAATTTTATAGAGAAATATGTTTAATGAAGATTTTAAGCATACAAAATCTTTCTTCAAAAATAAAAAGAAAACTTTTTTCTCTGCTTATAAACTACTGAATGAGCCATCTACCATTTTGGTCATATTACTGAGAACTTGTTTTTCCACTCGCTCAACGAACCAAAGATTAATACAAAATATAATAAAACAATCTATGGCGAACGTTATTTTATAGTTTTTTAATATGCATAAAGTGGTATTGCCTTTTTGGTGCAGCTTTGCCAGAAATTTCGCATGTTATCGCAGCTTGACAAGTGTCAGGTAGCAGGCAACAACAGCCAACCGAACACCGAACAGCCAAGCAACAGTGAACAACATGTGTGAACAACAATAACAAATTTCAGGAGCATGTTCGGAGGAGCGGGGAGATATCTTTCAGAAAAATCAACAAAACATCTACTCAACCTGGCATTGAAATCGAAAATATTATTTTGGTCGAATCTGTTACGTTTTTTTTTTGGGCTTTTGGCCTTATCAATGGAGTGAGTCATTTCTGTGTGGGGGATTTTTTAGTTTCTGTTTTATATGAAAGCATTTATGTTGCTTTTTGGTGGATTGAAATGAAAACTGATGAAGTTTTGTGTTTAAAAGTGGTAACTATATATGTAAGCTGTAAGTAGCTTTAACTTGCTTGATTTTTGAATACTGGAAATCATAATTTATCTTTAAACTGGTTTTAAGAGCTCAATTGCTTTGGCTATCACTTTGACTTTGTTATTATTGATTATTTTGTTTTTGTTTTAGTTTAATTGAGAACTTTAAAATGCTTTAAATTGTCACATTTTTAAACTTTAATGCGAATATACATCAGAACTCTTGTTGTGTGCACTAAATTGTTTCATTTTCGTGAATAATTCATTTTAAACTTCCAGTTAACCTCTTTAATTGGTTTTTATGCTTGAATGGCTTTTAAATAAATGCCTTGTGTTAACTTATTTACATATAATAAACACTTTCATTTGAAATTATACTAAATTTTCACACCTTTTAATGACTTCTAACACTTTCGTGTGGCTTCTTATCACTTTTACTCATTTTCTTAGACATT